CCGTTGATTGAGTCTGGATAGAAGCGCTGGTATCAGTAACTTTAGTAAAAGCGGCCACTCGGCGGCTGAACACCCAATAAAAGCAGCGAGCCCTTCAAAATGAAGGGCCACATAAAATGTACCCAAGGCCACAACCAGTGCAATCAAATTAGGCGTCACCCAGAGTCACTCCGTACTACATAGTGATGTTGAATCGTCAAGCCCTGTTGGCAGTTCCAATGTCTGTACTAACTAACTAATACTTTCCAGAAAGTACTAGTATTTTGGGAACACTCGAGGAAGTTCTGGATGTGAGTATGACGCATGTCAACGCCCTTTTAACCCAAAGAACGGTGAGGTTCATGATAATGCTATTAGAGGAGAAGGTGCTTTATTTAGTGTAATGGCACAACCTTCCACCAGATTGCATGATTCACATATAAAATTGACCTTTTGCCAATAGGTTAAAAGGAAAATTTCCCTGATGACCATATTCTCAAGTTCACAACTTATGCCTTGAAGTTTCACATCTGCTAACTCGTCGGGGCCTCCTGTTCCTGTGAATCGTGGTTTGACCTTATGGTCCCTGTTGGTGCCAATGGCCATCCTCAAACCGAACAACGACAGAAGATAGCAACCACGAACTAGCAGCTTGGTTGTTGGAGACAAGAAAGAGCCTATATAGGATAATTCCAGCGTTTCATCACTCCATTTGCAATTGGTTGATTGATCGGATATGAATTGTATTCTTGCCCACCTTCTTTCTCCTTTCGTCTTTTAATTTTCCCTGTGGGATTTCTGGCCCGTGGGTAGTTATGTCGTCTTCCATTTTTTTACCAGACATCTCGTTAAAACGGGCGTATAAAGAAGCCGATAAGGCATACGATTACGCCCTCGTTCTCCTTGCTTTCGAAAGAAGGCCTCCCCTCCCCCCCCAAGTACCTCCTCTGGGCCCTCTTCTACCCCAAGAAGAACCCTTCGACGAGGAGATATGCCCAAGCTACAATCCCAAAAAGTTATACCCGGCAAAACCTGGAGAGGTGCTCGCCAATCGCTATCAAATCCTTGTAAAAGGTTGGCTGGGGGGTCTCCTCCACCGTATGGTTTGCTCGTGATATGCGGGGGTACTTTTTTGCTTTTACTACATTTCTAAGTAGGGCCCATTGCTAAGAGCTTATCCAGATATCATTGGGAACCGAAAAAAGTTGTAGCACTGAAGATAACCAGTACCAACCCGCCATCAGCTGATGATGAAGTGAAACTGAGGACCACATTGCCAAGACAGACCCGTCCTACCGTGGATATCTTCGGAATGCTTCGACGTCACTGGCCTAGAAGAACGAAAACTATGCCTAGTATATGAGCCTATGAGGGAGCCAATCTGGCTTTGCCAGAAGCGGTTCAATGGCGGGGTGATTACCCTTCCACTCATCAAAACATGCATTGTTTTCCTTCTTACGACCGTAGACTATCTTCACACAGGATGCAGGGTTGTCCATACTGGTGTCCATTCCTCCTTAAAATATTGGTTCATTCGGGCTATGTCAGGCTTACGACTAATCCTGTAGATTTGAAGCTTGGGGATATTATGGTCACATTCGAAGACCCGGCTGTACTTGGCGATTTTTCATGAATTCTCAGCTGGAGCAGCCGGTGGAATACAAAATCGACTCCACCGGCCGAGCAGTTTATCGCTCTCACAAGTGATTTCAGGCCATTAAGGAAAGTGAGAAATATACCCCAAGGTTGCTAACTTTGGACAGTCCGCAAGACTTGATGACCAGGACGATTGGGGGATCTACCCCATTCGGCCCGATCACTATCACGCGCCAGAGGTCGTCCTTAGTTGTGGCTGGAAAATGAGCACGGACAAATGGAATCTGGGTATTCTGATATGCTCTATATTTCTCGGTTCGGATTTAACCCATAACAGGATATCATCCAAGGCAAAGAACTGTTCCGCCAGGTTTACGATGCACAAGGCCATTTTGATGCTAAAGCGCATCTGGCAGAAATGATAGCCTTACTGGGTCCACCCCACCCCAGAGCTGGTGGCAAGATCCCACTCGATGCTGGGGTATACATGGCCTGAAACTATAAAAAGGGAAGATGGCAAAGTGTGTGAAAACGCGGAGCAATATTTCGACGGCCCATTTTTTGATAGATAGTAAGTATTTCGAATAAATTGTAGTGGAAACTCTGGCCTAGCTAGTTAATCAAATGAAATAAAAACTAAACTACTCAATTGAACAGGCAAATATTTGCATAACGAACTAGCAGATTCGCTCCGGCGCCTGGGAAAAGCGCGAGTGTAACGCCTTTGTACAGATTATACCAGAAACCAATACCAAGACTCTTTTCGGACATTACACCCCTTGGAGCGTGGAAAGTGCCCTTCCCGACTCCCTCCCACCTCGCTTATTGGTAAATTCCGCAAGATTATTCCATAATACAATATAATTAAAAAAGTTTCCAGATATTTCCAATTCCTTTGATATGATTAGATACTTTCATTTGGCCCCGATATTCTGATTGAATTCTTCTTATTATTAGTATCTGATATATATTTTTAGTTGGCTATTTATTATATTCTTAAACACTAACCGATTTTATATCTACATGTGTACAAGGTCTGGCAGCACCGATTGGATGGACGCACCGTACCAGCCATCAAAGCTAAAGGGAACGACCTGGGCATAAGAATCTGGTCGCTTAGGGAACCGACCTTCCCCAAGGTCAGTGCCCAACCAGCGATGCTCTCGTCAAGTCGGTCTTTTGATGCCGAGAGAAAAGCTGCTTTCTCGTTCACCTTTTCTCTCCTTTACTCCGCTTCTCGTCCTCCTTCCCCTGCTCCTCATTTTTTTTATTTATTATATTTATTTTATTATTTTTGTAAACAATTTATTTTTCTACATATACTCCTTTTTCCGATTTACACATACTCGGTCACTTCTCGCATCCACATTCCCGCTGGAGGTGTTTTATCTATACAAGGACCTCGGAAGGTTAATCTTGAAGCTCGCTACCGATCTTGAGTCTACCGCGTTTATCTCGGGAGTGTCCGCCAAGGGCAAGCACTAAAACCTTAACAAGCGTAAATGGTGTCCAATTGATTCAGTGTCCAAAAACCGCGAGCTATCCGTTTTGACACTGTACTATCTTGCTTGGAGGCCACCGCGGAGAAGAGCTGTGAATCTGATAACTAGTGGCGAAAACCCCCCTTTTTTTTTTTTTTTTTTTTTTGAACATGGCTTGCAGGGCGGAGTTTGCTCGGACTCGTTGAATCATTGTCGACTCTTACCGGAATGCCGCAGTAGTCCAGTAGTAAAGCCAAAAGTCAACGGTCCAAAGTTCCATTGACCAATGTACGGTCGCTCCAGCATCCCTCAACGGTCGCTAGCTATTAGCAGTACTCCGTAGTCGTAGTGCTGATAGCGCGAAGGGCCGGATCATCGCTGCCAAGAGGCCGAGGTTTGTATTTTTAGGTGCAGTAGAGCCACAGCAAAAAAATCCATTTCATGATCTTATTTGCGATTCGTTAGTTTCTCATCTGTAGTTGCGAAGAGGATGAGATGATGAGATAGGTGATGACGATGCCTGGAAGGGGCAAATAGAGGCAATGGCCTAAGCCTTCCAGCAGAAACCGGCCCAAACAGATACTAGTAGTTAGTATACTGCATACGCAAGAATATTACGCAGCAAAGAAAAAAATAAAATAATAAAAGACACACTTAATGTATTTTTTGAAATGCTATTGGCTTGGTTCTTGGATATGATGGGCATTATTTGTGAAAATAACCCAGATTATACATCTGTATTTAGAGCAGGAGATCTGCGAGAACTCCACGCCATACGCCGTAATACGCAGTCGAGACGAAGAGAGTTCCCAGAATCCCAGCTTCCGGGGCCTCCACCTGGTGCGCTAACTCGGCCAGCCAGGGATGGACGATGCCCACAGACGCTGCGACGACTGGACGCTCTGGTGCCACTGCCCATGCCCAGTGCCCAGTGCCCAATGTCCAATGCCCATGCTGCAGCGGGCCATGGAACTTGGTTGTGTTTCGGGCCGCGGGGATGTATGATTGATAGCCTGGACCTTATCCCATATACTGACTGACGGTGGCCCAGCAATCCATCAACGAACCTGGTTGATGACAGATGTTTCAAGGAAGGGATCAGGTAGCTAGCCCGGCCAGTCACGCTGTCATGCTGTCATGGCTGTCTCTGTCTGTCTGTCTGTCTGTCTGTCTGTCTGTGCTGCCCCTGCCCGTGCTGTCTTTGCTGACTGTCGACACGGCAAAGTCTCTTGTGCTGCAGCGTCCCTTCGCCCGTCACACCCGATCACACAGCGAAAGCCACCCAGATACGGCCAACGGGGTGGGGGAGAGGGAGCACGGCGTCGGTCTTTTTATCGCTGCCAGAGCCCCTCCTCGACTCCTCGACTCGGAGATCATTTTTCCTTTTTCTTTGCTTCTTCTGCTCTTCTTCTTCTTCTTCTTCTTCTTCTTCTTCTTCTTCTTCTTCTGCTTCTTCTGCTGATTCTCTTGCTGGCTTTCGCTTCTCTGCTCTTGTCTCTCAGTCCATCGGTCTCTCCATCTGTTCGTATCTCTCCGTAAAGCCCCCTTTTGGCTAAGCCCCCCAGCAGATTTTATCTCCACCCGCCGCCGTTTTCGGGGCTTGGGATAAGACTAGGCAGGCCTCCACCGCAGCGCACCGTTTACGCTGTTCCAGGATCCGACTGCTCTGCTCTGAGCGCTCGACGTTGACGTCGACGTCGTCGCGGCCTTCCCACAGAAATCACCACAGGAAGGGAATAAATTCGAATCTCCTCCACGCTCTCCAGCGCCACGTCGAAATCCGACTTTTTTGTTTTCGTGCACTAGTTTTATTCGTCTGTCTCTGCTATTTTTGTCCTCGCTCCTTTTGATTATTACTATTGATTATTATTATTACTCTCTCTCCTCGTGCCTGACTGATCCGCGCTCCGCTCATTATCTGCCCCCCCCCCGCCAGCTTACGAGAGATCTAGAGGGCAAATAAAGGGGCATATTGACCTGAAACATTAAAATTTATATCTATCTATCTATCTATATATATGTATATATATATATATATATATACGCATACATACGTATAAGAAGCTCTATGGAACCCCTGCCTTAATATACAGCTCGACCCCAACCCAACCCAACGGCCATCATGGCGCAATAAACCAGCTCCCCTTCTCAACACAAGACACCATGTTTACCCCCAGCCTAGCTGCTGTCTTTCTCCTTGTACACTTCCTTGATGCCTCTCTCGGTCTGGGCAGCTTCTCTTGAGCTTGAACAGGGTGTCCTCACCTCGCTCTCCCACTGGATCTCATCCTTCTTCAAAATGCTCGCCATTTCCCTGAATCCAAAGCCTCCTCACATCCATCCTCCTGACGCCGATTCTCCGCCAGACGCTGTTTCGACCGCAGCAGAGTCTTTAAGCTCTTTCGCTCCTACTTCTGTTGTTCCTGCTCCTCCCGATCCCCCTCTCCCTCTCCGTCCGCTTCCCCCAACGGCGGCTACGTCTGTTTCATCTACTCCCCTACCACCACGCCAGGAATCGCAAACCCCTCCCGATATGTTTATGAAACCTGCAGTCCCCCATCCCATATGCGGCGGCCAAAGCCATGCAACCCCCAACAGCAACAAACGACCAAAACTCTCGCTTCAGACTTCGTCGGTCCCAATGACCTTTGGCAAATCGACAACCGCGCTTTCTCTCACCCTTTCAGCAGGCTGTTCACCGTCCCCCACAGTACGGAATACATTTAGCAATGCCTACGACGGATTTAGGTGCACCGCATCCTTATCCCCTGTTGGCGCCTCGTCTCCAAAATCTGCTTCCCGATCCGGAAAACGGAGCTCGTCTTACCTTTGCAACTACCAAGGAGTGGACGACGAAATCCCGTACAAGCTTCCATTAGGACTACGGAGTATTCTGCGTAACTCTCCGCTTCAGACATCCTCATTACGACGGCCGTCGCTCGCTGCGCCAAGCGGTAATGGCTCTAGCAATGGGCACAACCAGCGCAAAGTGCTGTTCCCTGCGAAAAGGCAGGTCAAATATCGTTTCCCACTCGACGAAGAAATCAAGACCATCCGCTATATCGCGAAACACTCAGATCTCTTATCCCTGGATTCCCCATCGGGGCCATTGGATATCAACACGTCATCAGACGAGAGTGAGGAATCGGACTCCTCTTTGTCACAGCCAGGCTCCTGCCTATCAGATGATGAAGATCCCATAGCGTCATCTAAGGAAGATAGGAGGAAAATCAATCTTGCCAACGCCAATAACCGCAACACTAGTGACGCCACTTCTGTTAAAAATAGCAACTCAGCCTCGCCAGTCGTGCAGCGGCCACGAATTGCTAAAAGAAAACATTCCGCAAGCGAGCGACAAATCAGAGCCGTCGCGCTTCGAGAAGAATTATCCGGTTCCGGTGGCACACATGATTACCGCGATGACACTCCCGGAGCATCGTACCTCCACCAACGACGGAAGCGGCCTTGCAAATGGAGGTGGACCCTAGGCCCGGTTGAAAACGGCCACGCGCAGCCAATTGATGATAAGACCCACTGCGGCAGTCCAAACCCTGATGCGTCACTGGCGGTGATGGCTCCTCACCAGCAGGCAACCGCACCACCGACAGCAATGGACGTTCCTACGTTGAGCTGCCCGGCGCCCAGACAGCGGCTGAGCCCGCTGGTAAACACGACTGCTCCACCACGCATGGACATTCCGACACAGCCACAGGAATCCTGTCCTCCCCAGGATTCAATGTGACATTCTGCGTGAAGCCTCCTCCATGCCTCTAGCAGAGAGTCTACGATCGAGCGCCCCCCGTGCTTGATCGAACGAAGCAAGGAGGAATAAAATTCCTTATTTCACTTCCCAAATCATAGTATTATTGACTTACTTCCATGCGATATTCTCGCATATCGCACGCACCCGTCCACATTATCCATTTGAAATTTCCCATATATACCCGCTATATACCTACATTACTCATTACAATGGCGCCCTGCATTGCATTTGCATTTGCATTACATTACCGATGATAGCGTTTTATATACCCACCTAATACAAACATTTCCAAGATAGCCAACAGTCATGTTATGAATTTTCTCCGAGGCCCTTTTTGGTGTTGATTTTTATTTTATTATTATTTAATGAAACATTCTATATATATATGTATTACATATAATTCGGCGGGTGGGTGTGGTCGTCTTGACCGAGTCGAGAAAACGAGCGAGTCGAACGGGCAGAAGGAAACTCAATCCGCATTCTATCAAGGACAAATTGCGGATATCGTCGATTGACGCTGGTCAGGGAACTAAATAAATGGTCGCGGGTTGGGCTGTGGGGGCCCATGGAAGGGAGGGAGAGAGGGAATGGTGAGGTTCGAAGGGAGGACGCACGCTAGTATTCCCATACCATCATCTCATCGCCATTCCGGTTATCTACTTCTTGCAGCGTTGGTTCGAAAATTGAAGAAGTAAGACAAGTCGGTCTGGTTGAAAATAACACATCCTTGAAACAACCCACCACCTCACTAACCCAGCCTATCCCATCTCATCCCACCACCTTGGATAATCCCCGATGTTGTATCTTCTGTTATGACGATTCTTTCTCTCCAACACGAGGCGAACGCAATTGCTATAAAAAGAAATCAGTCCAGCACTTTTCCTACGCCGGACTCTGGTGGGGGATCATGTTCCTTTTTGCTATATATATCTAGATCTATATATTTAATTTTAAACCTCCCTTTCCTTCCCCAACTTTACCTAGTCTCTGGCTTGCTGGCTTCTCTTAGAGACTCATCTCACTACTTTTTACGTGCCGCTTAACCCTTTTGTGTTCCTTCTTATTCTTTACGCTCGATATTTTGGATTTCATGGATTACAAATTTACCCGCATCTATAAACAACCCTCGTTTTTTTCAAGCATTTTTTGATCTAATTTAAATACACTCTTTTCATTGTTTTTCCAGGTTTGTCGCAAGGCATGCGCAAGTAACAAGTAGCAAGTATGTATGTATGAATGTATAAATTTAACGTCCCAGGGGGAGAGATGGCAGCGCCAGGGCCCCGGGGGCCTCCCGAAGGGCATGGAGACGTGCTAAGCTGGAGAAATCTCTATATACAGTGAGTAGCAAGTAAGCATGACGGAAGAAGGGGTTATCGATTAGATATTGATTAGATACAAGCCGCAATCGCTCGCTTGCGCTCACTTATCCAGCTTGAAAACACACTGTTTAATCCATCAAATGAACATAATGGGATATATAAGCAGCTATATTATGTATATGACTTGTATAGATGGATTTCATATAATTTATAACTATTAATAGAGAATAATTATATAGATGAAAAAGATAAATAATATTGTAGTAATATTATAGAGTTAATAGAGAAGCTCTAAATAAAATATAATTAAATATCAGGTATCTTTTGTGCCGGTTAGCGGGGCGCCCAGCCCGCCGGGCGCCGTCGTCATTGGTCCGCTTACTGCGCTAGGCCCGTTGCGGCAGCACCGTTGCCGCTTCGGGGATGGCGCGCCCTCTCGCCGCTTTTGCGCCCTCTCACGCCGCTTCAACGGCCGGCCGCTCGATCTATAAAAACCCGTCCCGCGCCCTCGCAACGACCACACACTCTCTCCTCCTCTTTCTTTCCTCTCCCTCTTTCTCTTTCTCTCTCTCTCGCTCGCTCGCGCCTGGATGCACTGCCCCCTCCCCCCCTGCAGGGAACCGGTGCCGTCTTACCCGGCCCTCGCCCCTTTTTCTTCCTGCGCCCGCGGAGTCGCCGAACGGATGTCCGATGACCTCGCGGGCTGCTGCTTCATTGGTTTCTGAACCATCCACGCCGCCCCTCGCGGTGTTACTTCGCTTGATCTGGAGTCTAGGCTGCTGGGACATCTGCAGCCATGTTGCAATGGCAATGGCCTTCGCTGTATTGTACGATCGGCGACTGTGAACCGCAGATTGCCAATGGTTTATTTTTTTATTTTTATTTTAATTTTAATTTTTTTTTTTTATGGTTGGGCTTTATCCGGTCGATCTGTTTTCCTGTACTTTGTTGTCTTGGGCGCCTTTCGTCCGTGGAGATCTGTGCGGAAAAGCAACAGGCGACGATCGATTGAGGCCACGGGGAAGACCAGTGGGCGAGCCTCCTGGAGCCGGAGTGCTTGCTGAGCCCTGAGTGATGGAGGGTTGCATCGCCCTTTGACCCACCAAGGCAGACTGCCTCATTCCCTTTCCCCAGCCAATAGCAAAATTGCCGCACTTCTTTTTTGGTATCGGTGTACGCCTGCAGGTCGACCAAGTCGGGGTTTCGTCCAGATTGCATGCTCGACATGTCAGGGTTGAAAGTGGCGATAGCCATATGCGATTGGTGCAGGGCACCGGTTATCGACCTCCAGGTGGCTTTCAGATGAGGACGGACGCGTCAGCAGTCTCAGGGAAGATTCAGGGATCAGAGGGATTCGCCCGTTGCTTCCTCCCCTGTGGGAGATGGTGAGGCAGCTGAAACCTCTGCGATGAGAGCAACTATAAAGGGTGGCCGAGCCTCCTACGAAATCGCTGGCACTTGGTGATCTGTTTCTCTCGCCCTCACACGCTCTTCCCTCAGGCCCAATTCCCACTCTCCTTCCCACTCCCCCAATCCACCTCTGACTCAGAATCTCCCCTCTCAGATCCCCAATCTCCTACCCAGATGGCCCTCGCGTTTCATGCGAACAACTTCAAACTGTGGACGCCGCGGCACCCCAAGTCATTCTCACTGCGCAAATGCCCCAATTCTCGCACCCCAGAAGCCAGAAAACCCCCTCCCCCAGCCCCACGTTGTGATGTCTCCCCCAACACCCTGCTGCCCCCCAAGCATGGCCTTCCTTCGAAGCCGCCAGCCGAAGTTTGCGTGCCTATTAGCGGTAATACTCAGCCGTGTGCGCCGTTGAACTCCCCCTCTCAACCAAGAGAGATGTCCATACCACCACCCAGTTCGGAGAATTCCCGGCATGGCGTATCGTCTCTCTGTGATCTGGCACATCACACCCTGAATTCGCATCCCACCCCTGCCCGTGATGTCCAAGATAATATCTCTGATACGCCGACCGAACTGCCTCCCCTTGGGAGAGGCGCCACAGGGGCTGATTCGTCGTCGCCGAGCATAACCAGCTCAGATGGCAGCTTAGAAGCTTTCTTCAGGCTCCCGGATCTCCAGAACAACATCCCCATTGACCCAGCGATCCTTGCCGACGACGCGCCCTGGGACATTAGTGACCTTCACCAGCCTGTCCAGCAAGGTGATGATCTCGCAAGCCCAAAGGCCACTTATCCATATCCTGAACCTCCCCTGTCTATGTCCTACGACACCCCCAACCATCACCAAGGATCCAGAGAGAGGCTTGACAGCTGGAATAGAAATTCTCAAACGGACGATGACACTCACGTTCTGGATCATCGGCAGATTCACCCCGCCCGTTGCAGCACCGACGTTGATGTGCCTTGCTCCTACAGCACGAGCGACGACTTCCTCAGCGACGCACAGGCCAGGAGACGCAAACGAGGGCCACAGCAGCCAGAAGAACCGGCCGCAAAGCGGCTTCACGTTGCCTCTGTATCGTCTATGGAAGGTCCCTCCACAGCCCTTCGCTCCCATTTCCTGTCACTGCAGCTCGACGAGCGTCTGCAGTTCCTTTCTTGGTTGTTTGAAGGTGCTTTGGCGAGTTGCATGCCCGACTCAGCGCCGGCAATGTGGGGAGATGGGAGTGTGCGGTCAGCCGGTCGCTCCGCTCCTCACAAGGTCGGAGAAACTCAGCGTGAGCGCGGTGAGGGGAGAAAGGGTCACGGAGACAAGCTGTGGCGATGGCTCCCCGAGGAGGACGCACGGCTCCTGAGCATGGTGGAGGAGCGCCGACCCTGGCCGGAGGTGGAGAGGTGTTTTCCAGCAAGAACGGAATCGGCGCTGCGCCAGCGGGTATCTACGCTTCGGAAACAAGAGAGGGGAATGCGTACAGCCGAACCCGCTGGTGTCATAGTAGCATCTGTAGCCCCGGAGGGTGAGACGTAATGCTCATCCATGTACATGAAAGTGATATCATGATCGACCATAAAAGGCGGCCTGCCTCTCCAAGCCGTTCATCAACGGCCCTTGGTAGGCAGGTGAGGGTGGCCTCGCCTGACCGCATCCTTATCTTTCTCCTCAGGGGCCAACTGTACGCAGCCACAGCCGAATGATACCCACCCTCTTGTCCCCCCCCCCCCCCCCCCACATAAAGAGGCGCATAAGAAAAGTTGTTGGATGTAGGCCCTTTGTCTGATAATTCATTTATCACATTTCTGTCCTCGAGGAGTGTGGGCTCCCGCACCGCGCTTCAGTGCCTGGAGAGAGCAACCCGAGACGAGCACCCCGTGACGGCCCCCCATTTCGTGGTGTATATAGAGGGCCTCCCTCCCCCCTTGGATCCATCTTTCTTTCAATTCCTTTCCCACTTCCCATCCTACACCGCCGCGAGAGTGAAACCCGCCCAGAGGCCCTTGTCGACTCGAAGACAACCGAGCGAAACCAAAGAACCTATTTCCCCCCCCACTGGAGCTCTTCGGGGTTCTTTTTTTTTCTACCCACAGCCTCCTTGCAGCACGAGCCGTTCCTAGTGAGCCGCATTTCCGGGGCACAACCATCCTTCAATCATGGCGTCAGCTGATAGTCCCCGCGACGGGCTTCGTAGCACCATCATCATCAGTTCAGATGCGGAGATGGATGAACACCAGCCCCCGGCACGAAAGCTTCGAAGAAAGAGACCCCGCACAGACTACAGCTATCCGGTGTATGAGGCTCTATTTGATGACCCAGCGCCCTCCGAAATGAGGCAGCCACCGAAAAAACGTAAAATTCCCAACTTGGACGCGGTTTTGGTAAGACTCTTCCTCGTATGGCTCATGGTGGGGCCTTTTCCTTTGCTGATATTGAGATAGGAAACCGCGAACCAGGGAATTCATAACATTTTCGAGGCGGAGCATGCGAAGAGAGAAGCGCTGGAAGAAGAAGTGCAGCACCTGCGTGCAGAAATCACTAGGAAGAATGGGCTGGTCGACAGACTCGAGACTGAAGTCCGTGAGCTGAAGCATCAATGTCAATGTCAGATCTGTTATACCATCCCATCAGGGTGGAGGACCCCCTTCTGTGTGGACATCGGTATTGCCCAGAATGCCTCCCCCCCATTGGCGCAACCTGCGGAATGTGTCGTCAGGTTATCACTGGTGTTATCAAGAGCTACTAGGTAGAGATTTTTATGGCCAACTTCGCGTCTAATATCGAAATCATGGGTGGTGGAAAGAGGCGGGGGAGTTGGAGGTCTACATGTTGATTGCTGAGTCGAAGCCAAGCCAAGCCTCGCTGGGTTCTTTGGCGCTCCGTCTGGCGCCCCCTTTTTTCGGCTTGGCCTTCTCTTCAGCTGATTCCCTTTCGGCTCGCACTTTTTGGGTCACACTCCTTCAACACGTACATTTATAGATGTATTTAGGAACTCCGCCAGCGCAGCAATCCACTCTTCCAGTTTATTGCGCGGTGTTGGGTGACATTCTCCAGAAGGTGCCCTTCCAAACCTATGCCTCCGGTAAGGGTTTAATGATACCCTATCTCCATCCTTCTACATAGATTTCTCATCTAAGACTGCAGCCCCCCTTAACGTCCCGCCCGAGCGGCTGTCTGTTGACAGGACCTCAAATAACCAGCCCCAGCCTCCTGGTGGTATCGAACCAGACGGCTGGAACAATATCTCAGATTCTGGGGCTACGACAGAACCGTTGGCCCATGATGAATTGGAGAATCTTCCCTATTGGTATGGGGCGCAGCAGGTTGAAAAGAGCCTTAAGATTTATCATGTCGGAGATAAAGTATGGCGAAATAATAAATATGGTCACCATGTGTTTTATGTGGTGGGAACATATCTCCCAGACAACTGGCTCCCTGAAAATGCGAGGCTCCAGTTGTGGAAGCAGGAGGAGAAACTAAAGAGAAGCAAGGAGGAGAAACAACAAAGGGAGAAGGCGATGCTACGAAAGAATCGTCTGAGCACATTACGTCCTCGACCATCAACACGCAATTAACGGAAGATGTGATGTCAAACCGCTCATTTTTTATTTGATATTATAATACACAGTCATTTATCCATCTGCCTTCTGTTGCATTAATTAGGTGATACTGAAGCAGTGGGTTGCTCCACATCTTGCCCATCTGCCGGGAACGCCCTAATATGGTTTCCCCCCGGGAGTCAGTGAAGTGGTGCCCCACGACCAAAACTATAGTTCCCTACGGGAAGTTAGGGAATTTGCAAGAATGCTGATGAAGGCGAACCCTTAGGGAGTGTCACGAACTTGTACATAGCGGCAATAAAACGGAACCCCATGCGGCGCCGACATCCCTGAGGAGTGCCAGAATTCTGAGTGAAAAGACAACAAAAACTGAAGTCCCATGCGGTGTCAGCATCCCTGAGGAAGTGAGCTCCTTGAGGAGGTGAGTCCCATGCGGAGTTGGCATTCTTGGGGAAGTGAGCCCCTTGGGGAGTGCCAGAATTCTGAGTGAAAGAGCAACAAAAAGTGAAATCCCATGTGGTGTCAGGTCCCCTCAGGAAGTAAAGCCCCTTGGGAATGCCACATTTTTTGAACTATTAGCCACCGGAGTAAAATCCCTGAGGGACGCCATAACCTCAGTAGAGAAGGCCACGAAATTAAAAGCCCGTAAGGAGCCAACACCCATCAGGGGATGGCGCCATGCTGACTTAGAGTAGATTTACGTTTCAAAAAGAGCTTAGTGATGGTTTCGAATTCATTGTAATTTTACAACAAACAAAATCTTTCATTATCTCAAATCTGCTCAAGGTTCACTTGCTTTCCCTTCTTCCCCGCTCTAGACTTCTGATATTTCATGTAGTTCTCACTCGTTGTTCGGGAAGGGGGGGGATAATGCTTCTCCTGTTTCTGTAAGAGCTACGTTTTTTTCCAGGGTTGTACCAGACATGTCACTCACTATATCTTTGTCTGGTGGTGGAAAGTGGCTGTTCGAAGCATCAGACTTGTTAAAATTAATCGTAAAGTACCGGTTGTCTTCATGGATGAGGAGGTAGACGCCCTTGCAGCGACAGTCATCAAAGTAGCTACGCAGCATACGCTGGAGTGTGCCTTTCCGTCGGTAACGCATCTGCACAAGGCTGCTGTGCACAGTCCATGGCTTCTTGACACGCTTTGAGTCCGGTGTTTGCATGGTGTAGCATTTAATTCCAGTGTAGGTGAAAGATCTTGGACTTCACTATTGTCACTTGATATTATGGGGTGAGGTTTCAATTTATAGCTACGAGCGAGTGTTGTGCTTTTTTGAGCCAAAAGTCGCTTTTTAAAGGTGTACTTCTGTCGGGTGTCGCGGCGCTTGCATTCTTGGGCCACGGTCTGCGATCTGAAACCGTGGTCCACGCCATTTTGATTCGCGATTGAACTCGGCCACGCGATCCGAATACATGGCCATGATTTGCAATCCGAAACCATGGCCTTCACCATTTTGATTCAATTTTCCACTCGGCCACGCGATCTGACCATTTATGCTAAACGAAAATACGAAAGCCAAGAAGGAAAAATCCAAAAGTCAAAAAGGAAAAAGAAAAAGCATAAACATAAAAAAATCTGTGTAATCGCTGATGTGGTTTGATAAAAGTGTAGAATAGGTTTGAGCAGCTTAGGTTTTCAAAAAGAGATTCTTACACTTGGTAGAGTCAGCCGCCGCTCTTTAATAATGGCTCATGATCTTCTAAAGTGAGAACTTAACAATTGAATTTCTTTCCTCCGTTCCTCCTCCCGTTAAGGACGCCAAGACGTGGCGTTTTGTGAGAGCATGCTCCTGTCCCTGATAAAAACGGGCAACCAGACCACGCAAACCAACCAAATCACGCCTTGGCGTCCTTCTGGTCCGGACCGTGACGGCACTGTTTTTGGGCTGCTTGGCGTGTTATGGAGTCATCTCTCACTTTCCTGTTTCTGCCTCGATCGTTGGAAGCCATAAACACCACAGAATACACACGATGACTGTCAAATCGTGTATGCTGACCAAATCGCACAAAACGTCAAAAAGTGAAAATGCAAAATTACAAAACTGCAAACATTGCCTTTTCGCACGAGTGCAGAGATGCAAGCCCACCACGCCTTGCCCGTCATATCAGTGCTGGGCCTTGCTGAGCTTTAACCACCAACAGGAGGGCTGTAAATGACGTCATAGATAGAACCTTCCAGACGTCTGCGCTTTTGCCCAGCGACAGAAGGTTAAGCGTAGACCTATCCGACGCTATTCTTCAGGGAAATATCCCCTATTCTTTAGAGCACCTTCAATGACAAACGAAGAGGGACGAGAAGAGTGACTGAACCAGTTGACAAGGAATAGGGCAGCGAGAACTCCATTGAGTGTTTCCAGGAGCACGCAAAGTCGATCCCACCAAAAGCCCGTGCCCTTGTGGTCCGGACCAGGAAGGGCGCCAAGCCGTGATTTGGTTGGTTTGCGTGGCCTGCTCGGGGCATTTCCTCACATGAGGATTCTCTCGAGATTCTTGTCACAGAAGAGGTTTTCTAAATAAATACTCTTTGGCCAAACTTCACAATATGTAAAGGCTGTTAAAAAATCCATGTGTTCTAGCATCTGACAAAGCCTTCATATCTCAGATAGTAATACAAGATAATGCCTTTGTGAAACATGGGGACTTGAGAACTCTCACTCGAATCGAGTAACTTCATGTGTCTAGAAATATCTCAAGCCGAGCTAACCGAGTCGCACAGCAACTTAAGAGAATCATTTTATTCATACAAACCTCCTGTAAGTGTTTTCTCAGGAGCTTGGCTGACGAATTTGGCGATCTGGCGATCTGGGGGAGTGACTGCCAGTAGTTCACTTTTCAGAAGATAATCTCTGCTGTTTTCTTGCAGCAGGCTTGAAATGTGTGAGGTAACAAGGCTGGGACGTATGCCTAGGAGAGAGTTTTGGATATCTAGGCTATGAGCGTTTAGGATCAAACGATGAACGAATTCTATTCAAACGCATGCTTGATTGAATTGCTGTAAAACTGCTATGACTAAAAACTCATCAGACAACAATTATAATAAAGCAACTCAAGTCAGAGAATTTGTCAACGGGCCAAGTGGACGATGGCAAGCAGAGTTAAAAAAGGATTAATGAGGGCCACGATTCGCAGATGTGAACGTTTGTTTCGCACTCAGGAGGTGCGGGCTTGGACTGGCCCGTTGTCATGATGCTGCCCCAAATGTTAGAATGAACTGATGTTTTGAAACGCCCCAGGTACACAGACCACTTTCATTATACATATCTTGTTGCGAATATGAACAACGAATATTTCTGAGAATTCTGAGCTGAAAAGCTTTCGCTTAAATGTTATTTCAGAGGGATCAACGTCAGTAAAATCCGTGAGATGTTGTGTTTCGGATCTTCGAGTTTGCTTTGTCCCCCTTCAAAATTCTAGGTTTTGCGGGAAAAGGTTGAGCCTGAAGAGAGAAGAGAGCAGGGAATAGTTTGATTTGTTTGCTCAATTTCGATATTCCAGAAATTTTGATTCTACCCCGATGGACTCGTAGCAGATCAGCGAACCGGACGGCCCGGGATGATATTCACCAACCATCCAATATTTCTACTATTATTCTTCACTCATTGGAGCAGCAATTTTTTTCGGTGTGCCCCTGTCCGATGCCTCGTCGATCGCTTCTTTCGGAAACTCCCTGACGGCGAAAACGGTAGAGGGACAATGTGTTCCACCACGGCCACCGATCCTGCTAATTCGCACTCCTAGACTCTGCTGAAGGTGCCCCACGGAGATTCATTTCGGACTACAAGCGCCTGCTGCGCCCGATCACCCGAGTTCACGATGGCGGGAAGGGAGAGATCTCTTGGAAGTGGTGGAGAGCCTTTGCTTTTGTTTGGTGCTTGGTTCGGAGCCGGATTTTGAGAGGAGAGCCTGTCGTCTCCCATGAGGTATAATAGGAAAAGCCAGCGCCATCCTAGTGAGTCTGGCTTAGTCCAAGTAGCAATTGCGAGGTAACATGCCAGCACTTTCGAAAGGCCGGCCGCACTCACTTTTCATTGCAATCACTGCTTTGCCGTCCCTGGGGCACCTGATGTCCCTGGGGCCAAAGGGGGCTGGGTCCTATGCCTTCAGCCCCCATCTACGCTAAATGGTCCCCTCTAGACAGACGAGCAGTGACCGTGAAAGACCGCACCGTTTCACGGACTCGTAGGCTGCTAGGGACAGTTTCAGGGATCGGATGGATGAGGGCGTATTGAGCAGGCTCCGAGGAACGGCGCCTGCCCTCCACGTTTCCAGTTGATGTATGACTAGCGATGTTTACAAAATTTGACTAACTTCCATCAATTATTGGACTACAACAGAAAATCAAACGAAGGCCGGTCCTGCGCCAGACATCTTCATATACTATCGCCACAGACATGGAAGCCTGGGAGATCCGTAGAAACGGGCCTCACGCGGTGGGACCAAAGAATAAATACAAGGCATCAACAGATCCCGGAACCGTAACTATCGTCCGATTAGCCCTGCTGAGCAGAGACATACATCGAACGCTGCGGTATCCAACCCCAATTGTACGGCTATTATTGGTATTAAGCCTCGGCGGTGATAATCACGCCCTCCATGTCCAATCTCCCGTTGAAGGACGACCCATCGTTGGGAGAGTATCTGCGTGCCTGCGGTTCCATTCCGTGGAATTTGGCAGATCACTTCCATATGTTTGGGATGCGGCGTCGAGTTCTGCAAAGGGAGGGAGCCGGACGGGACGTGAGCGTGACACTCGGGGAGGTTTTGACGCGGGTTGAGAGAATAAGAACGGAACTGTCCTAGCTCGTCTCGCCATTTCTTGTTCTCCTAGCTGCCAGTGCATAGCTTCAACGGCCCTCCAGGGGATGGACATCTCCTCTGCAATTTTCGCCCACATTTGCGACTTCGATCTGCTTGCTCTGTCAGTACGAAAGCCGGTTGTCATCAGATATCACGCCGTTTCCACCTTTCATATAATAGGGCCAACTTGGTCTTGCGATCCTCGCTCCACTCACTCCGCCTCTCAAGGTAATTCTGGTAGTGCAGGCGACAGCTGAGTGCACTTCGCCCGGGGAGTTCCTTGCTGATATCTCCCCACGCCATTCCGCGCTGCCGAAGCTCGATGATCAGAACATCTTCTTCTGGGGACCATTTTGGCCTTTTCTTGTCCGAAATTTGGCGTGCTTGGGGGCTATCGCTCTGGACGTCAGGTGCCATTGGTTCGTTTTGGGCTAAGTTTTGAATCGTAGGCGCCATAGTGAAAACCGCGGCATTTTACGAGGAGAAAAGGGAAGATCGAGCGAGGGAAACAAAGTGGGAGGAGGGCTGGCTTTATATGCCTTCAGACCTACGCTGCCCCCCCCAAAGACAAATTGGAAGCAACCGCAAGTAGACCGCACCATTTATGGGATTTGTTGGCTAATGAGATAGGGACTGATTTAGGGATCGTCTTCCACGCTTCCTGTTGATGTGCATCTAGAAATGGGGTTTACAATAACTAAACTTTCCTATTGGACTGTTCGACGCGGAAAACGCAAAAGTACAGACAATCAAACGCAATTCGTACGATTCAAGCGATGTTTTCAAAATTTGACCAACTTCTATCACTGATTGAGCTACGGTAGAAAATCACCAACGCGGATCTTGCGTCTGAAAGAAGGCGAACTCAGCGAGATTCAGCATTAAAGCGGCATTATCATCAGATTCAATTTACCGACTGAAACGTGAAGCAGAAAGATAGAATATCTGCCCAGTCCACCTCGCGAGAACGTCAACTCCGAGTTAACATCTCGTCAGACAAAACACCAGAGGGCCTCCCAGATTGACCATTCACATCAAACTTTCCATTATACAAGCATAAAACCGAGACGCAAGAATGCGTTGGGTAGGCTAGGCTTCCGCGGTAGATCACACGTTGTGAGCCTGGGAACTCTCCGCAAGATCCTCGAAAGAGTCAGTGGGGTTGGCAATTGCGCGTGCCCTGACATAATTCTCCGGCTTTCCTCTTTCTTTGCTGGCTTTAGCAACCCAGCTGTCCGCATGGGCCACTGCGTCGGTAGGCGACTGCTTGCGTTCAAGGAGGAACGATAGTAGTATCTCCGCCGGGCTAAATAAATGGTCTGGTATCTTGGCGGCAAACTCACGCGCAAGTCGGTCGATTGTTTCATCATCTGTCTTCTTTTCTGCATCGGTCTTCTTTTCTGGGTTGCTGTCATCCTCATCCGACCGCTTGAAAACCGTGCAGAAAAGACGAGAACTCATCTTCTCATCAGCGAGCTGAAACAAAACCTTTCTGTCCACGCGGACAGGGCGGATGAGCGCGTCATCCAGACGCTCGATGTGATTTGTCGTCATAATCAGCAATCGACCTTCCTGCGAAGATACGCCGTCCAGGGCATTAAGAAGAGCGGACAGAGATACATTTCCCTGGGACTTCCTCTTCTGCGACGGACCTGCCACGCCCTGGCCGGCGTTTTCTGTCGTTTCACCGACTTCCGTACGCGACGTGCTAGCAGCATCGATATTTTCTAAAAGAATGACACAATGCGGGGGAAGCTGGGCAAATAAACTGTTCAGGCGGCTGTCGTCGATGCTCGAAAGATTGAGAACATAGATATCCAGTTCAAAACGCCCGGCCACAGATAAGCTGAAACTAGACTTCCCGGTTCCAGGAGGCCCATACAGCAGGAACCCTCTTCGATAGGGAATCCCGCGCCTTGCATACCAGCCGCGGGCTCGCTCGTCCAGGAAACCCTCGATATCCTTCAGCACGGCCTTTTTCTCGTCCTCATCCATGATGACTGTCGATATTGGTCTGATGTCTCTTGCCTTCGCCTTCCTCCATTCGCCGTCATGATGCTCAAAGACCGTAGTCTTTTTCTGGAGAAGTTTTAGATAGTCGGCTCGGCATTCACTCAGGAGGTCTCTCAGAATTTGCGACGACCCGCCGATGCAGGAGATGGAGATATCCTCCTTCGTCTCTTTTGCCACGCACTGGAACCGGAGCAGATGCTTCCTGTACACGAAGAAGAATGATCCATTCCAAGGTGAAAACCGCAAAGGTTTTTTCTTGTACTCGTTTGAAAGATCATCAGCATATGCTCTTCTTTGCATGCCGCCAATGCTGGCGAGAGATGAGCGAGCCTTATGGGCGAAGGGCTGCGTGGATACCCAGGCGATAAGCATATCGTACGCTTCGTTGTAGTAGGAGACGTGGACGGTCGAAGCTTTTAATGGTTAGAAAGAGCTATCATTAGGGGGAGATTCACGAACTGAAATAGGTCTCCATCAAGTCCATCAAGTAACGGGCGGCATATCTACCCAAGAACAGGAGCATGCCGCAGAAGCACAGAAGGTGAGCATAGCTGTTCAGGTTTCCAGCTAGGACCTGTTGTATGGAGGCCGAGATGGCGGTAAATCCGGGGAAAAAGGCGTCCACAATGGAGATTTGGGATGGGAAAGTGTGGATTGGCAAAGAACCAGCAACATTGAATGAATTCATCGTGGAATATGTGGCAAGGTATGTGGGCTGCTTCTTGAACGGGTGCTACTACGTGCGATGGTTTGAGCAATTGATATACTATAAGGGTCCTTGCTTTCAAATAGTAAATAAAGGGCTTGGTTCAGGATGCGTTGACTGGTAGAGAAAATGAAGTTCTCCATGACTTGGACGAATCTTGCTTCCTTTTATTACGCCCCGTACATTCATCCACAACATTTCGCAAAGTTCTTTCGTGCATCGACGATTCACAATGAAGGCAATAGCATAATATCCAATGTGGATGGATATTCATGGCGCATTGCGCACGGTGCGCTGTCGTTGTGCCTCGCATCACTAGGTCAGGATGGGTTGCGTATCTGGAGGCTGGATATGTGAGGAGGTTTTTCACCCTGGTTCAGATGCTGGGGCATCAGTTGACGCTCGGTGTTTGTTTGGGGTCTAGGCAAGCCCGGGAAATGACAAATGAGTGGTTTGTTGTTTTTGAATCCGGATGCAGGTGAATAATCGTTTAAAAGGAGAGAATCATGGTGTATTTTGCAGCAGCGGGAACATCGTCCGTACCCCTGCAGCTCTACTTGATGGCGTTTATGGGCACAGGGCACAGCGCGCGCGGAGGATGTGCTATAGCTTCCGTAGCGAAATCATGCAGTAGATTGATTTTGAACCATGGGAAAGTTGGCCCCATCTCATGCCAGCGACTGGACTTGCAATAAAAGACGGATCGGCAGAGCCAATAAAAGTAAAAAGCAAAGTTCTCAGAAGCGTTCCGGCTTTTAGACGGTTTGTAGCATTCGGATGCAACTCGACTCAAATTCACAAGAAAACCCTGCCCAAGCCATACGTAATAGCGTTCCCTCCAAGATTAAGCTTGAATGGTGCCATCTTATCTCGCGAGCACAAATTGCTTCGAAGGACCCCACACTCTACAAAATTCAAACAGATTGGGCTCAGTTCGAGTATGTTAAATTTCATTTATATTCCCCTCACGTTGCGCTGGTTGTCTCAAACACGGAACACCTACAACATGGCATGTTTCTGCCACAAGTTACTTGCAGAGAATTTTTCCGATATCACAGAGGCTGAAGTAAGTAGCCCGGGTTTTTGGCAAAAACATCAGGGCTTACTCTCGCACAGGCCGAGATCCTGAGACGTGTTTTCAATAAAAGCACATCTATTCAACAACAGTCTCTTTGGAGGCTGGGCCCCGATACTACATCCGTCCCAGAAGCCCCCGAAGAAGCGACCGAAAAAGTCGTCCGACTCATCTTCCGGCTCGACCCAAGGGAAGGACGTATCTCAGGGACCGCCTGTTGATGCTCTTCAGGACCTTGCTGCCATCGTCTCAAATCTCGAAAAAACAATCCCAATGAAAAGCTTGAGGCTATCCTGAAAAGCACCGTCCATCATCGCATACAGGAAGTCCCACCACAGTTCGCCGCTGCTGTGAACATCATTCTTGCCATAGAACGATCCGACCAGATCATCGAGGTCAAACAGCTATCGAAGCGAGTTTCCTACAACGCATTGGCTAAGCCACATCCGAAGGGAAAATCCGTCGACGAGATCGTGGAGCAAGTTTTTGAAAATGATAAAGATATTAAGCGAAAGGTATACCATTACCTCAGGCTTGGAAACAAGTGGTGGACGATTGTCGAATCGGTTAGGTCAATTCTCAGCGATATTTTGTCGACGAAATTATCAGAAACCCAGGTTACCGGCATTTTCTGCGTGCTCAGGGCTCTATCCGTGTGAGTTTCACTGCAAAAATTGGAAGACTCGTCATGCTCATTACTTATCAGCGTCTAGCTGGGAGCGAGCATCCCCAGAAGCCTGCTCCGCTGCCCTCTCCGCTCTTGCAAAGAAAGATATATATCAACGTATTAAGGCATTCAGCCCTTATGTTAATTCCGCACTGCGCCATATATCAGGTACGTCCTTAGACATCCTCCTCGTTCACCATTTAACACTTTCAAAGGCACGCACACATTCATCCACCACTCGTACGACAGCAACGGGATGGTCAAGTTAGTCCCCATGGGTCGCCGTCTTCATACTGCCTCCAGCACAGACTCTCACTGGAGAGCATCATCCACTGCAGCAGTGTCTGCAGCGCTTCCTGAATTAAGGGGAGACCGTTCAGAAGTGGCAGGACTTTTAATGGTGCTTTTGTGTTTCCTCGCGAGATCAGAGGTTCCTCTGCAGCTTTGCGTCCGTGGAGCTTCACCTCGAAAACGCTGGGGTGATCAGGGTGAGATTAAGGAGACGGGCCCACTTGACACCGGTCTTGTTCCTGAACTGGTCCACACGTTTTCGAATTACACGGATCTCAACAACGCATTATGCGAGCTTCAGTCGTTCTCGGCCATCTCAAAGAAGCCCGATAATACTTGCCTACTAGATCCATGCGTTTTAAATCGCGTTTTGTGCAGCCTATCTCCCGAGTTTCACCCTTTTTGGAGGCTACAAGCTTTGATCATCGCGTTTCGCTCGGTTTCATGGAAATATCTTGAGCCTGGGTAAGTTTTTACCCATTGCTATTGCCATTAGTATTAACTTGTTCTAGGCCCTTGGATATGAAGCTCTTCATACCACACCTACGGCATACTGTGCGTGAGGTTCGAAATCACGACGGCTTCCAAGACTTGGCAAAAAATATGAGGACCGATCTCATCCTTACCCTTGCTGAGGCGTCTAGGTTCCCTGGTATGGCGTGGAAGCGATTCGCAATCGATCAAGCGAAAGAGCTCATGCGCGGCCTGAATGACGCATATATTCAATCCTGCATTGCCCAGCGAGAATGTCTCGTGTACCGGACCACAGGATTTATGAATGAAGCTACCAATGTTATCGATAGTGCCCCCGGTCCAGGTCAGCTCCCGGTTGTTGCAAAAAAGAACGTGCATGCTGGATTTGGTCAGAGTGCCATACAGAGCGCGTTGAACCATATCCAAGTTGACGAGCTCGCCATGGCCACAGATGTGCTAGATGCGTGGCAACCGCTTGGTCGAATACCGGCGGCAATTGAGGAAGTTGTACTCTTTCGTAAACATGTCATTCTCGGGAAAGTTTTACGGTTTCAAGGCAAATTCAGAGAATCATTGTTGAATCTCGAGAAGTCAAAAAATTTGGCAGACCGTTGCCATAACCTCTTCTTTGACGAAGATCGATGCGATCTTATGTGTAATCTCGCTGACACAATACGAGAACTTGAACGCCCCGCGAACGCCGAACGTTGTCTTCGCACGGAAATCGCACGACAAAATCAGGTATCTCGGCCGGATCTTTTGAAACTGGCTCTGGCAGAATGCCTATTTGCTCAAGGACGATATGCGGAAGTGGAGACGATCTGTTCAGAGGTCAAATCCAAGCCAAACCTTCTGAATATGGAGAAGATGCGCCTCGCCATTACACGAGCAAAGGTATTTCACATCAACTCCGATTGGGAGGGAGCGTTTCAGTGTTGGACAGAGGCAATGCAAGCTGTCGATAAATTCACTTTGACAAAGGGCCATACGACACGTACAATTCTTCTCTCCATCTGCGATATTTGCGCCGCCAGGGACAGCATGAGCTGGAGCTCAAATCCCGTGATCAATTGGCTACGCTTGAAAAACTGGCTGGGACGGGAGGGTCGCTGTATTGGATTGCGGGTTTACGTCACTGGTTAGATCATTTACAGACATCCAACAGGCCTCGTATATAATAGTGCGCAATACGGGTTATGGCAAGGTTGCCTGAGCTGAGTGTTGGTTGAATTTCGGGTAATTTGGATTGGCGTGCTTTCTTCTCAGGATAAGCAATCTGAGTAATGTAAAAAGGGTTTCTAACCACTTGCTCGCTCACACGATAGGTTACATGTAATTAAAATACGTCATCTATGCGGACTCAAACAATTAAATCTCGCTAGTTTGTGCTCTGTAGGAGATTTGGAAAAATGATCATTTCGCTATGCAATGCAATAGTCCTCGTACCTTATTCACGATTTCTTTGGTTTGCAGAAGGTGTTATCCCGCAAAAAATAGATTAGCTCCCCAATCACACAATCAGATGCCGCAGGAAACCAAATGCAATGGAGGCGTGGCATTATGATTGGCCGCCTAAACCCATCGAGGTGTTGTTGCAAGGCGCGCTCACGATCGAATAACTCTTTCAAAGTCAGACATACTGAACAGTTGCTGCAGACATTGCAGGATGGTGGCGGCATATCTTGTCTGACAGGATAGATGGCCGGTTGGGTTAGAAGAGGGGAAAGGCCAAAGAAATCGTATTTTGAGGAACATCGGCTATTCCCATTTAGGATTCGACAAACCAGTTGCCTTTCCTCTCCAAGCAATTGGGCAAAATGCAGCTGTAGTTTTTCCCAAGTATATATATCGCTTGCATGTTGGCGCAACTGTCTTATGAAGACCCAAGGCAGAGTATGAGTGTGCAGAGTGTGAGTGTGGGGGCATGATGGGCTCCTGGTCTAGCATTGGCGTGTGAAAAGAGATCATGCTCAGATCGGAGAAAGGGCTTCTGTTAAATAGATTTGATACACCTGTCTCAAATAAAACTATGAAATCGTTGTGTTGAATGATGTCCCGGGCCACCTAGATAGTAATCCCTGTTTCTCCTGTCCAACTCAAAAGTGGCGCAAACGGGATAGAAAGATATCTGCGTGTTTGGGAGCCGCAGGGCTCCAGGGTAGGGGGCAGTTTGTCGGTTTAACATTTTCCGATACCGGAAATACATCTATTGCTGGTGGGGTCGACATCGACGGGTCACGTGCTCGATCCTAGATGACAGAAGGATGCAAGGATGAAGGCGGGGGCAAAGAGAAGTTTGGCGCTTGGGAGATGAAGCAACGATTTTCCTCACCGAACTTCAGTGACTGTGCTAGAACGACGCGTGAATAATATATTTATGTACGGGTAGAAACTTTCCTGACGACTCTCCATACCAACCGTGACCCACCAGAGACAACTTTCGAAGCAAATTCACTCTGCTGGACCCAGTCTTTGCGACAATGACCGATAAAACGTCTATCTTTGATCACTTGGGTGACAGGTGGAGGCAGCCCTTGACCAAGGATGTGCGACCAATTTCGAGCGTCATCCTAGATTTGCAGGTGATAGAATATTTATTACAGGATGTCCGCAACTTCCTCGACTCGAAAGCTCGAGAACGGTATCGCGACATTCCATACCGACGAAGCTATCTGTTCCATGGGGCTCCGGGAACGGGAAAGACAAGCTTGACCTTGTCCATCGCAGGGTGTTTTGGTTTGGATATCTACACAATCAATCTTTCCAGCATCGACGACAACGGCCTGAGGAACTTGTTCGCCAACCTTCCTGGCCACTGTGTTATTCTTTTGGAAGATGTGGAGGTCGTCAATTCAAGCTCGCCTGAGGGAATGGCTTCTCTGACCACACTACTTGATGTTGTCGACGGTGTAGGAGATGGCCAAGTGTTAATCATGACAACCCGTCATGTCGAACTAGTCGACGGCGCACTTTTGCAAGCCGGTCGTGTGGATGTGAAAACCGAGTTCCGCCTCGCAGATAAAGAAACAATAGCTCGGCTCTTCTGGTTTGCCTTTGGACAGGAAGCAGCCGACCCACTAGCACATGAGTTTGCTAGCAAGGTACCGGAGCTAGAATTCAGCCCAGCTGAGATTCTGTCATTCTTGATAGAGAACAGGCGATCTCCTAAAGAGGCTGTTGATAACGTAGCGGCATGGATGGCGGGTATCAGGAGTGAAAGGAAGAAGGGTGGAGTTTAAAAAGGTGTCCTCCTGCCACACACTTTGACCACCTGAAGAAGTTGTTCCTTCAACGAAACAGTAACTCGTCCTCAAGATTGTGTGGGTAATTATGAAGGCAGCATGGACCCTGCTCAGCCTTTCAGTCCTTCTGTCCCTTGTTTTGTTCTTTACTCATTTTTAGATAGTCAGATTGAGTTACCAATTACTTCTTTGGAAGGATGAATGTCCTGAGCCAGCCCTCCCACGATTTCATCCCGAGTGAGCTTGTGGGGCGCCTTGTACTCAATAGCGAGCGCTGGGATGTGCTCATCGCCATCCTGGCGATAGATGCAGAATCGATCTGCCTGTCCTCCTGTGACCATCATACTCTCTTTTTGCTTTATTTTATTCTTCTTGCCCATTCTCTTTCCGGTACTTGATTCAGTCCCGACCACGGGTTCAACAGACGGCTGATCACCCGGGTTCAAATCAGCCGCCCGCGTTGAAAGCCCAAGGTTAGCATGGCTTTCAAAGGTAATCGATCCGCGCAAGCCGAATGCCCTTTCATCCATTCACGAAGTTGAGTCGAACCGTCTTCGCGCGTATCCAAACGGAAGATATGTTGTCCGTAACGACCTAGATCATGCAAGGCACTTTGTGCCATGCGTCGTAAATCTTTACATTTGATCTTATTTGCCTCAATAATGAACCGACGAGGCACAAAAAGAGTATTGCGAGGCAGTGGTACTGGGCATTACTAGTCAACGATCATTGGTTCATTGAAAGGGTCTGATTGGTAGAAGGAAGACGTACCAAGTGCTGGGCCTGCTGCCTCTGAACCTAGATGCAGCTGAAAAATAATCTATCAAAACAGAAGTTTGTTAATTGAGATTGAAGACAACTGAGAGGTCGTAGTTTGAGATCAGCTATTGCGCAGGGCAGCAGGACAGTGATGACTATGACATTAGGTGCCGATGGTAGTCTGCAGACACGTTGGCACGACTACAGGGGCTGTCGCTTAACAAGGGGCTCGAGATTCTGCATTGATCCTGCATATTGCAGCAACTTTACAACCGCTTTTCAACCACCTTACAACAAACTGCCGCAAACGTATAACAGCCTTCCAACAAAATCTTAATCAATTTTGCAACTCTTAAATAACCTCTGTACTTCAGTTTTCTGCCATTTATTCAACAACATTTCACATCCTTTATTTTTGGATTTTAAACAGGTCCACCATGCCAGTGCATCAAGAGAAGAGGGGAAAAAAGACACGTAATGGGCCCTGGTCTGTCAAGCGAGCAATGGACAGCCTAGTCGCGACTTCCGAGTCGATCCAGTATAGGGACAGATTGAAACCCTCCGAAGTTAAACGTATCAGAGACGCTGTTACATTAGCAATGGAACCAAATTCACCAGAATCAGAGGCTTCTAGCAGACGAGAAAAATATTGGGAATTCCTGAGACGTATAGACAAAATATGCGGAGCTGGAATAGTCATGCTCTGTGCGGCTGGACTTGGTCAATCGGCAATTGGCATCATGGGGGAACGCGTGAGAATTGACGTGGTCACGAAAATAAAGCAACGAGAAGCGGAATTAAAGCCTTCAGTACTATCAGCTATTTACGAAAGAAATTACATTCAAGGTATAGTTATTCTTCCACCAAAATTGAGGCAATCGAGATTAAATATACGAGATCGTCAGGCAGTCATGATGTTACCATTCGAATGAAGAGGTATCCCTAACGGGGGACGTCTATGAACTCGCTATCGGGGACACTCGGACGAGACATCATGTCACCCATTCGAATGAAGAAGTATCCCTAACGGGAGACGTCTATGAACTGACTATTGAAGACGCTCGGACGATTGCAATGTCAGATCAAATTGAAGGCGGGATATGGCTGACGGATCCATACGATGCCAACACGGCGTCCTTCATCACGATTCCAATTTCCGACGAACTAAAAACTCAGTTTATCATACAACGCCCACGAGTGATGTGAATGCCATCAGCTCCCAGAAACAAGTCCCACTGCAAGAGTTCCAGCGACATAGAACCACCAACTTCCTTCCCACGGGATGATCACACGATTTCCTGCCTCCTCTGTCCCAACACCATTAACATATGCGCCCTGGTTTTCATATATACGAATTGCCCCTCGGGTATGAATTAGATCCACGACAACAGCAACAGTGTTTGGAGGAGGATCTATTCGAGTGCCTTTCGTTGGCTCGGTCCAAGTGATGGAGTCGCAGGTGTTGCATTCGGCCTAAATGCCTTTCAGCTTTCTTGTAACCATTGAATCACTTCAGAAACAGTGTACTTCTTCTTTGCATTCCTTCAGCAACTCATCATCCGTATTTGTTTTGGCTCGAATTTTCGTTATTTCTTTCACCATAGCTAAAGGTTCTTGGATGATTTATTTCGTGAACGGTTTCCGGGGCTTCTGATGGATCTAGTGGGGGCTGAAATTTTATCTGCGCCAAATGATATTAACATTTTTCAATAGAGACCTAAAGTAGCCAAATATGGTGATACACACGTCACAAATTCAACCCTGTAAAAGGCCCCTCATTGTATTCAAATTCATACACAAAAGTTCCAATTTTTTTGTGGTTTCTTCGGCAGACGGGGTTTTTAGCAGGTAGAAACGCTCTGAGAGAGAAATATGGCATGGTACAGAACTCACTGTTAATCATAGGAAGAAAAGGGGGAAGGACTGATCAATTCGTGTCATATCCACAGTCGTCAAAATTACACAGCTTAGGCATCAATGCGTCAGGCTCATTGGTAATTAATCGCAGGAGAGGGTGAGGGGAAGGTGAGGGGCAAAGCGCACAGGGTTACGATAACCGTCAAATACATCATATGAGTCAGTCAATGGTCCTCGCAACAAGGATAGTGGTTAATGACACCAGGGGCAGGGCTAATGCAGCTGGGGGCACGTGATACAACCATACTGAAGTTACCCCTCCCTGGGATATTACGTTTCCACCCAATGGTAGTCGTTTGCTGCCATCTTCTGCTCAGAGGGTCTATCAGCGCCAACACGTCTGTTGTGCAGCAGCTTAAAACCACCTCCTACCCTCCCCCTTCCTGTCATCATGGCCCGCCATCAAAACCAAGGTACGCTATTCATGTTCATTACCAGTTACTTTGACTGACCGTTGATAGGAAAGCGACCTCAAGGGGTCAGGAAACGACCACAAGAACCTGTCCGCAGGAGCCCACGTCTCAGCTGCCTCCACGAGCAAATTCAATCGAAGGACAGGAAAACCGAACAAAACCGCCCATATCCGTCTCCGGCAAACAAACATTCCAGAGAAGAGGCTTGTTACTTTCCTCTTTCTATACTACACCATGAAACTAACTCAAAGCTAAGGCTCCTCAAAACCCGCTGGCCTCTCCGCAAGCTAAACATCAAAAACGAAAGCGGTCGCGAGAAGCCGAAGATTCTCTCCACATTCCAGCCGAGCGTATTGTAAAACGACCGCGAACGTCACTTGCTGCTGTTGGGAATATACCTATCCAAGAGTCGGCAAGCAAAGGCTGCGAACATAATATCAATCCAATCGATTACTGGAGGAAGGAAGGAATCTGGCCCAAACAATACTTCGAAAGGGGAAGCAACATGAGTCATCTACTTGCAAGGAAAAAATCGACATCTTCTCTACGCCGCAAGCCATCGGAAGCTAGTTCTGTCGCCAGCTCCACCACACCCAGCGACCAAAAGCCGAGGGAGGAAAAGAGCGCTCCATATGGAAATGCGCGCTACAGAACGTTGCTTGAAACCAAGGGCAGTTTTATGAAAGAATCTAAACTGGGTATCGCGGATGCTAGCAAAAGCAGTTACCAAACTTTGCTGCATGCTGAACAAAGAGTTCCGGAGAACTCATTATTTCGTGACGACCTATTCAAAAAAATCTGTGAGAAGATGCAGGATAGGAATGAGGCCATGGTTATTCAGGACATCACTCGATTGATTGTCCCTTCAGCAGAAAATCTAGCCATATATGGCGACGAGCATCTCAAGATTTTGATTGAAAGTGTTAGTGAAGGCTGGGATAACGCTATCCCTGTCACGAAACCTCGTCCGCAGCCTGATTACTCTGTGGGTTTCAGACGAGAGGCATTTACAGATGGCCAACTGCAAAGACTTCAGCCCTTTGTCGGTGACCTGACCGACACATCCTACTTCATGGCGACATTCTACATGTACTTCCCATTCTTAACATGTGAAGTCAAGTGTGGCGCAGCGGCACTTGATATCGCAGATCGACAGAATGCCCACAGCGCAACTATTGCAGCGAGAGCTACCGTTGAGCTATTCAAGCTCGTGAAGCGCGAAAAAGAGATCGACCGAGAGATACTCACCTTCTCAGTCTCGCATGACCATACGGCAGTGAGGATCTACGCTCACTATGCAGTTCTTGAAGGAGAGAAGACGAATTTCTATCGCCACCCAATCCACAAGTTCGATTTTACCGCTCTGGATGGCAAAGAGAAATGGACGGCGTACAAATTCACGAGAAATGTCTATGATAGATGGATGCCAACTCATTTTAAAAGAATATGCTCTGCAATTGATCAGATACCCCCTGATGTGGATTTTGACATTTCGCAGTCGGAACTTCAATACTCCCAACAATCTAACTCCGAATCGGTGCTTGCAGTCGAGGATGATGACAGCCAGCCAAGTCAGCGCCATATTGCCTCGGCAGGTGTTACGCCAACTACCTCCTTTACGGAACAAACACAGATATTCAAAAGGCCAAGAAAGAAGCAGTAACTTGGATCACACAAAAGGTTCTAGGGAAAAACTATCTCAGAAAAGTACTTGCTGAAAGGAGGGGAAATTCTTAGAATCCTGCATGACTGGCACAGCATTCAGGCCTTACTACAAGCGCTTAATTTGCACATGGTGCTAAGCGACGAGAGACAGTTGTATACTTGAATATCTCTCAAAATGGGAAAGGGAATTAGAAGAACTGAATATCACACTTGCACTTTCTAGGTCGGAGGCTCTAGTTAAATCGAAACTCGATTAGCTATACGACCCTATCTGTAGACACAATGCTCGTGCCTCGTGACTCGTTTCTCCGAATTTCCAACAGTTGGTGGCCTGGACATGGCGAAACTGTTATCCATGTCAAAAGTGAGCTGGTATGAACAAGGATAATAACACTTGCTGCCTAAATGCTGTGCTCCAGGATTCTTGGCTTGCAACGAATATTGATAGTGTTTGGCATCATTTCCAGGCTGCCCACCTGACCCTCATGCATGCACTAGAGAAATAGCCAGCTTGTTGTGACTCACCAGGCGGCAGCTGAAACCATTCCAAACCAAGCAAGGCCGCCAATGATTTGACGTAAATCACAAATTACTTGAGCCAGCCTGAACCAAAGCAGGCCGCATCAATCCAGTCTCGTATGGTTGGATGTCGAGTTCAGGCTAAAAGTATTGGTGAGTAGGGCATTAATCAACTCGACGTGGAATGTGAGTTGTTGAAAAAGGATTAACCCTTCGCTTGTTTTCAATCAAGTAATCGTACTAGAAATGCGAGGAGTGAATGACATAGATATGCTTTCACTGGACTGTCATAACCTTATATGAAATGATTGTTGACAGGAAACTACCTTCGATATTTATAATGCTAATCATTACGTCGCTTCTGTCAGCAATAACTATACGTTTCACAATGAAGTAAATCGCCGATACTCGTTGCTCCTTCAGAATCCGGCGGCGCCTGTTGGCGTCAACTCCCATGTAGCCCGAGAACTTGTGTGTTTTGGGTATTTGGTAGTAGGGAGACTATCATCCATGTAATTGCTGTAAAACTGCTATGACTAAAAACTCATCAGACAACAATTATAATAAAGCAACTCAAGTCAGAGAATTTGTCAACGGTCCAAGTGGGCGATGGCAAGCGGAGTTAAAAAAAGGATTAATGAGGGCCAACGATTGCCTTGGCGGCTCCTCAGCACTCAGACCTGTTCATGGTTTGGACTTTAAAAATTATGGCCCCTTCAACGATCTACCAATATTTCCATCGATCATTGAATGCTATTCCTCGCGCTGCAGTCCCGAAAGGTTAACGCACCATCTCCGCAGGTGCATTCTTATTCCAATGCAGAGAAATTGGCTAGGTGCAGTAGTAGAGATAAGTCTCAGCAATCTCGCCTCGTGCATGATCAGCTTCCTGTAAGAAGAAAGTTATGGTCCTGGTTAGTGTTTGACTATGACCTAAGTTGCTGTAAATAGTAGATCACTCACGAGTGAATCTGCGAGTTGAGACACCATTAGCTCTTCATCCTCAATAAATCCTCGTTGTCTCTCGGTAAGGCTATCTGCGTGATAGGTCTGAGCTCTGTCGAAGTCTAACCAGACCACTCTTTCCGGGTCATTCCTGACAATCATCATGTTCCTCGGTTTGGCGTCGCAATGCAGAACCAACGCTCTGTGAATCTCTCGGATGCCACGGATCAGAGCCTCTCCCCGCTCCTTTGTAAAAATTGTGAGGATAGATCATCTCCATTTTTGGAATGTACTCCAAGAGGATGGCGCTAGGAGGATTCTTGTCGTTAAGAAACATCTTCAGGTGAGGTTGATAGTGTGATAAGTCCATCCGTTCCATTGTCCCATAGAACCGAGGCACGATTCCGCGGTCGCAAAGGCCGTGCTTCATTAGTCGTCTGTAGGCAGTCGATTCGCAGATGTGAATGTTTGTTTCGCGCTCAGGAGGTGCGGGCTGGACTGGCCCGTTGTCATGATGCTGTCCCAAATGTTAGAATGAACTGATGTTTTGAAACGCCCCAGGTACACAGACCACTTTCATTATACATATCTTGTTGCGAATATGAACAAGGAATATTTCTGAGAATTCTGAGCTGAAAAGCTTTCGCTTAAATGTTATTTCAGAGGGATCAACGTCAGTAAAATCCATGAGATGTTGTGTTTCGATCTTCGAGTTTGCTTTGTTCCCCTTCAAAATTCTAGGTTGAGCCTTAAATAAGAGAGAAGAGAACAGGGAATAGTTTGATTTGTTTGCTCAATTTCGATATTCCAGAAATTTTGATTCTATCTGATGGACTCGACCATATAGCTCCACTGAGGTTGCGATTTTAACGAGGCTGTGTCAAGCATGTACATCTTGTGGAGGAGCTATTGGTTGTCATTCGATACAAATGCTGGACAAGTCACGCCTAAGTCTTCTCTAGAACAAGCGGTTATATACGATTTCTCTGCTCCATCCTCGCAGCAATGCCCGCTGGTCGGTATTTGCTCTATTTATATATAATTGTTTTTCATTACTAGATATGTTTTACGGTTCAGCTAATTCAAAGATGTATTAAAAATTTCTATCTGCTAATACCGTTGCAATTGCAACAACATAAAAATTACCTGCGCTAAGAAGGTCTCATCCAGAGGCATCACATGAGTCATTGGCGCAGCCCCAGTACCCTTCCCGAGGGGTCATTGCAATTAATCATCTCCTCGCCAGTGACGGCCGACGACGATGGATTATGCATTTCTCCCCGCGATCCATTTCGCCCCCCCATTCCCATATTGCTACAGTACTACGAGGCATTTACTGCCACTTGATGTTTATTTGTTAGATCCCTCCTCTCTACATTACGTAAGTGCCCATCCGGATAATTTAGACAAGTTCATTGTTTATTTAGGAGTCCTCATGCAATCTTTGTTTGAGGAGATTTTGATGTGTAGGGAAGATCTAACTCTATCGACCGTGTGATATCATCGAAAACCCAACATCATCTATGGGGTAAGCCGTTTTATAGTGGAGTCACCACCTGTCATAGATGCTTTATGCAGTAACTAATAGGCCACGAATATTGCCCGAATACCGTGGCCCCTTCCATCCAAAAGTGTACGTCTTCTGCTCGTCCGCAGTCGGGGTCGAATTGAGAATAACGGAATGTGGATAGGCCAAATTATTTTACGATGGAGTCCTGACCTGATTTTATGAATAGGCCACGAATCTTGTCCAAATACCGTTGCCCCTTTCCGTCCAAAAGTGTACTCCTGCACTTGTGCTTCTGCGTCCCACCAATTTAGTTTCACCGTCGGGCACATATATACCCAATGGCGATGGCCTTTTCGTTCACGCGTGACACGAGAGCGTTCGATGAAGTCCTAGCGACGGCTTTCCCTTTTCGAGATTGTGGATCGTGGGTGTGGGGTAGATTGCCATGGGGGCAGATGTGGGTCAATTGGGCAGGAACCGGAGCGGAAAAATTGTTCCCGGCAGACGTCGTTCTCGGCCTCTCAATTCGCGACCAAATACGGACGAAGCCAACAGTTTTCCATTCCGCTTTCTTCACGCAGAGCCTACCACAATCTCTTTATCGATTTTATCAATCATGGCTTTGCATCGGCATCAGTCATCTTTAGAAAAGGTATTGGACTTCTCGCAACAGTTCTCGCAACCGTTCTCGCAACCGTTCTCGCTAACTCCTTAACAACGTCAAGCGGCAACAACCCTTTTCAGATACCTGATCCAGCATGGTGGTTTGGAGCAACTACCTCGGAAGGTTTGATATCTGTCTTGTTCTCTATAGTACTTGTAGCTTTTGATTCCGTGGGTAGTTTTAATAAGTTTTGGCTGTTGAAAACAATTAACATCGTTAAAAAAAAATTGAAAACTGAAAAAAGAAGAAAAGAAAAAGGATAAATAAAAAAAATAAACATAAATTAATGACGGGATTGATTGGGATTGGTAGCCCTGGATTGAAGCCGAGTATGCTGAGATCTGTTGCAACTGGAAAAGTCAAAAAAAGTCGGAGTGTCTTATTTGAAACCATGGAGATAATCATTGCATCCCTTCCGTATGCCCGCTGGCCCGTGGACACAAAGGTCGTTGGATTTAGGATCCGGCCGAAGGATTTCTCATCTTGTGCTATCTTCGAGACGAGGCAGACGATGACTTACCGGCATGAGGGCATGCCTGGCCTTCAACGGGGCGTAATGTTAGGGTTCGCAGCATGGCTGCTCATAGAATGTAAGGCTTAGGGCCAGGGCAGCGGGAACCAGGAGAGAATGGAGCCGCGGGTGGGTTTGTAGATGAGCGAGAGACCTAAATGGGCTACACCCATCTGGGGTGACCGTGCTGTGGATATGGTAGGCGTGGCTCTGAAGCCCCATCGTACTCTCGAGGAGTCAACTTCTGAGAGCCATTTGAAAACGTAACTGTCCTAGGACCACAATTCTAGGCGAAGCATTTGCAGCCAGGACACTTCAGCTATAAACGGATCTAGCATTTTCTCAATCCAGAGGCCCCAGTCATCGTCCCAACGTAATGCACAAACAGCTAGACAGTACTCCCAGTAACTTGGATACCAACCAGACTTCTCCCAGTCGAGAATGACAATCTCCAAGGCCCGATTACTGGCAGTTGTCCGCCGGGGGTCGCTCCGAATCATAATATTTTTGCGTTGACAGTCACCATGAGTAAACGTCGGCTTATGGCCATAGAAAATGTGCGGTAGACATTGGCGGTAAAAATCTGCCCTGTAACGAGGCCGGCCGTCATAAGTGTATTTCCGCGCCATCGCTTCGTTGAGCGCGGCTTCGGTGGTGAACGGACCGTTGATTGTAACTTCTGCGTGCCGCGTCCAAAATATCTCATCAAGAAAGCATCGTTTGCCTATGCTGCCATAGTAACCTGGTGATGGCAACTGGCGTAACTCCTTGTAGTAACCGCGCAGTTTTGCAACAATAGATTCTTTCTCTGCACACGTCAAACTCGCCCACAATTTTGCGAGTGTCTCACCAGCAATATGCTCCATGACGATGTAGTTTTTACATGTTTGTGGGTTTGAATAGAGAGCATAAACTCGAGGCACAGGGACCTTTGTCATTTCCTGAACAAACAGCATGTTCTCTCCTTCAACAAGGTTGACGCCCTTCCCGAACTTCACCACATAATGGCATCCGACCTGGACAACCCGTCGCCCTCCATACTCCGGAGATATATTCGGTGCGTTCTCAATTTCAGCTTCTGTCGGGAGAGGGAAAGGGACGTCTGTTGCATAGTATGGTAATCTGACTGAACTGTCCATGGTTATTGGATGGTGACGAGAAGAGGAATGGAATGGTGTAGATTTAATTGTTGGGTAAGAATTTCTCAGGCGGTCGCGGCTTGGGTTTAGGAGCTAAATTAGCAATGGTAGTTAAGGATTTATGCCCGCTCGAGCCCTCCCGTAATTATTGATGTTGGTTGGGCTGTGTGTGCCCACAATAAAAAGCGTCAACCACCGCACCTTTTGGGAGTGGGAAGATCATCCACTGCTTCTTTCCAAAATATTACTACACGCTCCCTCAAAAAGTTTGAATCTGATTCCGATTTGGATACCACGTTGGTGAAACTACAGAAATAACTTCGCAAGGTGCAAGAGCGCGACAAATGGGTCAAAAAAGAGAGAAGTGATTATCCCATTCCTACAATTCCTCGGTTCTTTACTGACAGGACAGGGAAATCACCCCTCGAAATGTCTTTCGAGGTCTATCGGGTTGCCTACGCTGGTTTGCCACGTGACCACCACGCTATTTTCGTGGTAACAGATGACGATCAATCTGGCCATCTCTTCCAAGTAACGGGCAATATTCAAAATGGAATGACTTTCGAGGATAAACCCGGCAAGAAGCCTGAGGAGTCTGCGAGTTTTCAAAGCAAGGTTTTTGTTGGAAAGGTGTCGGCAGCAAATTTCTCTCGTGTTAAGGCGATCTGTGAGGCAATTCCTGTACCAAAAAAGCAGTTCGAGGGTCCTCGGCGGCTCTATCCTGAAGAGCCGATCAAGCGCTGCCAGGAATGGACGACAGAAGCCCTTGAGGCCTTAGTTAATGAGCACGTCATCGAGAGTTAATGATATTGGTTGTTCAGGTGAATCGTCCAAGAATCGAGGTCAGGCGATTTACCCTTGGTCTGCGGGACGAGGTGTGAGATGGGAGGCGGAGGCAGATGGAGCTCGTGGGCCGGAATCAAATATGCTAAGCAAGCAAAGATCAAACAAAGGGATCCAAAGCAAACGAGAAGATAATCAAGACAGGCAAAGTACGGAACAAATCAGAACCGAATTTGATATTGGCATGTTACACAGACAAAGATTCTAACCAATTGATTTTACAATTCTTAATAGATGGCCATGTAAAGTTTCATCAGAAATAAAGACAATAGTATTTCAGTCAGATATAAGTTATAATTCAATAATCATTATTACCTTTCCGTGAGTGTACTCATCATAAGCACTTTCATGATATTCAACTTTAGATATAGAACATCGTATCCTTCAGCTTTAGGTGAATCTGCACATCATCAGCACTAGGCTGCAGGGCTCCTTCAGCCGCCGACGTTTCAGTCACGGACAGGGCGGCACTCGGTGATGGCGTGTCGAACAAACTCGCCAAGTAGCATCGCGCGCGCTCACACGCGAGATCAGCGTAGTATGCGGGGGGGCATAGACTAACAGCCTTGGTCGCGCGGCCGAACAAGTAGCACATGTTATGCGTGAGATCTTCAACGATATCGGCGATGTTCTGGAAAGGGGACGGAATCAACTTTGCATAGATTTGCCGGAAAATCGCATCATGCACGATGTAATAGTGACATGGGCGGGCGGTCCCATGAAGTGCGGCGTGTGCCTGCAAGAAGAAATCCCAGCTCCGCGCTTCAGTCACCCCGCGGTCGACAACGGTGCCGGGTTTAGTATTGCCAGATCTATCGCAGTCTTGCTCGGTAGTGGGGTAGAATCTCGTTTTGTGCCGTTTGCCGCAGATTATGATGGTGAAGCGTGGAAGTCCTTTTTTGGTGTCGGCTGTTGGGTACACTTGTTCGCATGCGCGGCGGAGTTGCGGAAGCTCTTGCGAGAGGACCATGTCGTACTGGCCTTCAGAGACTCCGTCGCGGTAGATGAGAATATTTTCGGGGAGAGCGGTGTGTTTGCCTTTGGTTTTCCAGAGGCTAAGGCGAGACTTCAGCATCTCAGTGAGATCATCCACGTTCTCCTGCCTCGCACGTTGTTTGCGCAAGGTTGCCGGCCATTGACCTAGGAACTTGTCTATGGAAGCCACCATTGCAGAAACAGAAGGCGCGTTAGAGGAGGAGCCAGGCGAGGGGTGTGTGACGTCGATACCAACAACCATTGTCTTGTTCTGGTCGATGATGCCGAGGTTCTTATTCTCCACGATCTGATTGATCCCGCCGAGCTTAAGGTTGAACTTCAAAGCGATATTGGCCATATATTGGTCGCGGCCGCGGTCTTTCGCTAGTTTGGAGCCCACGGAGCAGATAGTATGGATGCCATAGTCTTTGTCGGCGAGCGTCTTGATGCGCTTGTATAGTGGTATGTTGGCCTCGGGGAGGATAATAAAAAGGAGATCCAAAGCCCCAGCGGCACGCGGTAAGATGGAACCGATCGCAGGGTCATCTGAGTGCTGAAGTCGGAGGCGTTGGCCTGCGAGCGGTGGAGCGACGTTGACGCCAATTTTCCCCAAAGCTTGATGGAACTCATTCATTACGGCCCCCAGGCTTTGCTGGTTGAAGGAGTCGCGTGCCCCGGGAAGTGAGATCATCAGGTATGACCACTTGGCAAGTGAGGCGCCGGTGTTGAATTTGATATTGATCATATTCCAGCTGCCAAAGCGAGGATCAGCCGTCTTGTTGCCCTTGTAGACAACCTTTGGACAGCCGAGGATGCGACCGGGTACTTTGACGAGTCCTGCCGTAATTTTAAGGCCAAAAGAACGCTGAGCAAAGTTAGTATGTCATGTTTGGAAGTAAGAGCGGAGACGTACCAAAAGCGCATTGGAGTTCTCATCAAGACCAACAGTCTGTACACCATCCCCAACAATCGAGGCCGCATTTTCCCACGGCTTTCGAACAGCGTGGCGAATCATCTGCTGCGTTTGGGTGCTGCCGAGCTTCGACTTGGAGGGTTGGCCCGAGAAGACAACACAGACTTCTGCCGGGAGATACATCGGATTCTCCCGGTTGCCGCAGTTGATCAACGGAAGCTGGGGGTGCTGCAGGAGTAGATTGTATGCTGCGTTAAGGTCAGCTACATCGAGGGATGGATATGGAAAAATGTACTTGTTCTGAAAAAGTCGAACACACTGATGTACCTCCCAGAGCCAGAGGCTGCTGGGCTCTCTGGCTGAGCCTTGCCCTTGCCCTTGCCCTTTCCTTTCGCGCCTCCCTTGGCTTCCGCCTTGGGTGCACCAGGGGAGCTAGCTTCACCGTCAAGCCAGAACTCGACATCTTTGGCGCCTGCCCCATGCTGTCTAACACAAGGTGGGTGGGCCATGCCTAATCCATCATCCATCCTAGCAAGTCCAAAGATAGTCTTAACTCTGGGAATTACCTCATTGGCTCTGTTGCGCTTCTCGGGCAGATGCGTGGTTTGGACTCGAACCAATTTGAGAAATTTTTCCAGCGCTACGGTGTTCCGAACACCGTAACTGCTCATGAGTGCCGGTAAAGGGCCAGCGTGATAGAAAGCCCCATGGCTGACATTGATGTTGACCAGGATGCGACAAGTCGCAATGCGCACGCTCGAAAAGAAGCCCCGAATGACTTCCAAGCCGGAACCGAGATCTCCTCTTGCTGCGTTCTGGTGGAGGGAAAAGCTCTTTGTCGACCCAATGGTGGCAAGGTTGTCCGCGGATTTAGCGTAGTGGTTCAGAAAGATATTCAGAGCCTGCGTCAACTCCTGCTTGCCTACACATGACTGGCCAAAATCCGTGGAGTTCAGGTAGTTAGTCAATTCGCTAATACTTAAACTCTTCGTGTACAGGACGCGGACCTTGTATGTGGTGGCTCTAGCCGCCGGCTCGTCTTCACCTTCGGAACGATAGTGGACCTCGATGATGGTCTCGTCGCTCGAAAACCTAGTTTTGGAGACAAGGGTAGACCGGAAGTCAGTTGCAAGGTTGCCTTGGTGCGGTGCCAATTCCGCTGACTGGAGCAGCAGCTGCATCACCCGGGAACGCTTCCTGCCAAAGGCCTCTGGGCTGATCTGGATGTCGTATCGATACAGAATCATGCTTGATGGCGGCAATAACTCGACGTAATTTGCCGTGAGTTCAACTTTGGCGCCCCTGGTGCCATACCCCGGACGGCTGGGGAAGCCTTTGGTTAACTTCGGACTACCAAGATCGAATGTCTTCTTTGTCGTTGGATGCAACGCATCTTCGACTTTCGCGACTTTGGGATCTTGGTCTTGAGGGTTGCTATAGACATGGTTAGTGTGTTGAACGACTGCACCTTTGCTAGGTGAGGCGCCATTTTACGAGAAGACCTGGATGGCTTGCTGCCCACTAGGCACTCCATACCCTCCTCTTCCACCTCCACCACGACCACGACCACGACCCTCGCCTCCGCCTCTATCACCTCTAAAACCACCGCTGGCTCCTCGCCCTCTGGAATCGCCTCGTCCACCTCTTCCTCCGCCTCCGCGATCTCCACGGAAGCCACCCCGTCCTCTATCCCCGCCTAATCTATACTCACTGGACATAGTACTGAATGGCTGAGTGGGGCACTCCAGACACAATATACGATACGGATACTTAAGGCTAAGATTACGATAAATGCGGTGTTTTGAAGGAGGTTGACTGATGAAGGCTAGCAAACTGAGCGAAGTGGGGTAGTTAAGCTACAAGTGTTTCTGATCCCTGCCGGAGTTTAAGCGCGCCGCCACGTCATTTGCAACAAAGAGAATCCCAGTGGTGAATGGGATGAAGCAACACATGGCGCCTCTACTTTATTAAGAGCCCTTTTACCCAATTCGCCGTAAGTAGGCGTGATGGGATTTTCCAATCATGATTGGTTGTTATTGGTGGCTCATGAGGGACTCTTCCAGAGCCTTCTAGTAGACTTTGAGGGCCTTAGCACTCAACGATCCACCCCCCCACCCCCCCACCCCAGCCAGGCCGCAACACTACAAACTCCAAATCTGGCAGAGCTTTAATCTCGAGACAATCTATTCATTTTTTTGTGCAGTATCTGATATATGGCAGAATCGTTTTAAACCTTTTGTCTTCGCACGCCATGGTTGGCATTCAGCATTGCGGCGAATGCTTTAAAACATCCTATTGCAAGTGAGAAAGAGCGACGGGGTTTCTGTTGAGATACAAATTTCCAGTCAATGATTTATTATGGTTTAAGAATGTATAGATGGATATCCAGAATCAATGCTCAGAGGGAGCTCTTAAGGTAAATGCTAGTACCTGAGCGACGGCAGTTAAAACATGAGTGATCGCGAGATATATACGAACTTACTTTCATATTGCGCAACCTCCAGCACAGGCGACAATCAGGCCCGATCTCGCTCTGTATTCGCACCCGTGTGTGATCGCGAGTTATTTATGAACCTACTTTCATATCGCAAACTCCAGCACAGGCGATAATCCATTTTTAAGACCAGAAGCCAGCTGGCGAAGGATGTTGGTCTCTCAGCCTCCAGTTCAGACATTGGGGGTTTTCATAGGCTATGACGGGTTCCCTACGACTGCATGGAGTTCCAGTTACGTGGAGACCTATGAACAATTGTGCATGGGTACATATTACGATATCATATCTACACACTTTCAAAAGGAGAATTCATTTGTCTCAGTAACCTGGGAAGTCGATAAGATACCACGAGCGGTCCTCCTACAGAACATTGATCACACGTATGATGATGCGCGTGCAAACATGGAAAAGATAATAGATTCCGGATCTGAAGTCTTGATACGACTTCTCATTCGGGACTAGCAAAAGTCGACGATTTTGCATCTTGCTTGTCGGTGTGGGCTGTTATGCCCATATTTTGCCGTTTCGCGTGGTGTGTGATTGTCAAAATTGTCGTGCAGGCGTTTAATAATAATTGCCTGAGACACATTTATGCCATCTCCCATTCATCGTCGGTTACTCGGCTGCCCTCGGACTGGAATAAATTGAACTTAGACACAGCAACATAACTGAAAATGTTATTGGAAATAAAAGGGAGATTTACCAGCATATTTTTAGCTTCAGAATCTGCCTTCCGCACTATAAGGAGGCAAGCTTCTAATGCTGCCCTCTCTTCCTGTAACCGTTTGATTTCAGTGATCCTCTCAGAATCCTTGCCGTCAGGTGAGTTTTTCTCCATTCGTTGTGTCCAGACTCCGCTTTCCCCCTGAGGACCGTCTTTGCCAACCGTAACCCAATATTGGGCGTTAACAAGAACTCGAGTACCAGTAGGCAGGTCGCTCATTCTTTTTTGAGGATTTCTTTGCAGCAGCTCCTCGAGGGTGGTGCAGACTAGCTTGTCGGCCCCGCATGAAACGCTGCGCGAGTTTTGCTGTGACATCGTGTCTTGTACCTAACATGTCAGACCAATTTATTAACATAAGAGGGTTGTTGTACAGTTTTCTGACCTTTTGGTGTTCGCCTTTTGTATTAAGGAGCTTTGTTTCGCGGGAATTTGACTGGCAAATTTGAGTTTGCAGAATGGCAGGAGGTTGGGTGGGTGAAACACAACAATCGAAGGAGGGGGCATTCGTCCCCAGGCGCCTTTGAAGTGCTGGGCTGCATTAACTAGTGGTAAGCTAAATCGATGCTGATGCCACTTCATCATCCAATTAAATGAATGGGCGATGAACAGTATATCACTTGACTTTGAAACCGACAATACATAGCAACATCGTCAATACAGTATAAAATTAAAACGAATTTATATAGTAATAAATAATTGAAGTTTATAATTTATAGATTCTATTTTTAATAAAATTTTAAATAGTTTTAACTTTTATAATTTAATTTTTTATTTAATTTCCCCGTCGAGCAGCCCGGCAATTTGGTAATTTTCATCCACCATGATATTTCGCGGGGCAATGTCGGCGTGGGTGAAAACTGAGGAGCTGGAGTGCGGAAGCATATCAAGCAACTGGTCTCTGTAACGGCTACCGCCATAGCGAATATATCGCTCGTAGATGCGAGATCGCAATTGTGAATCGGTCTCGAGAGGCGTTGGGGGTTGTTGAATATCTTGAATCAGTGGATCTAATGTTCACTCCGATCAGGCGGATCGGCGTCTCGGAGTTCTGCATTGTCAACGGGAGACAGTTTACGAGAAAAAGAGGCGTGCAGGAATGGACTGAGGTTTTTCTTTCAGGCGAATTGCCAGAAGGCACTGAACAGCCCTCTCTCCGTGTCGCCCTTGCTCAGCAGCCACAAGCTCCTGGTGAACCGCTCCATTGGTCGTTGTTCGTCGCCCGTGGACAGGCCGGGTGTATCAAGTCAAGGGCGATGCAGAATTCATGCAGTACCAGCCTTCAGATATCCAGATTGACATCACGGTGTCAGCAACGTTCTTGAACATGTATAACCTGTAGCGCACTGCAGCGCTTTCTGTTATTGTTCCCCACTCAATATCGCTGTGGTTTTTATACTGAGGAGTAAAAGCACAGAAGTATTCTGAGTACAGCATTGAAATGAGATGATTACTCTGTCAGTAAGAATAGAGGGTGGTGAAAGTTAGAACTGAAGGGCAGGGTCATCATTCAAAATTTTATAGAATTGTCGAGAGGAAAACATATTCATTTGGGCCGTGGGTCCTTGGTCGCCACAGGGCCACAGAAATCGGTTCAATGGCCTCTGCCGTCCACAGGCCAGCATGGCCACAAGTTGGCCGCCTCTGGGCCTACCAGGTCCATGGACCGCGATCCATGGACCCGTCAGGCCTACTGGACCCTGCCTCCAGCATGGTGATCTAGGTCACCGGCTCTACTGCACATGTTCTTAAGCACTGGCCATAGTACCCCTTCCCTTGGTCATTGTGCTACTGACCGCATGATGTAGTCCCTGGCCTTTTGTCAACCTTCTTCTGCCACTGTGCCTCTGGCCTGATTGGACTTCAGCCCTCGGGTGCAGATACAGTTTTAAGGGGGTGTTGACGCCAACGAAAACTCCCAGCAGGAGGCTGCACTGCCCGAACTCTCGTTATCACTTTCCCCGCCCTGGGTATATATATATGGGCTCCTTCCCGCCTCGGATCCATCTCTCTTTCAATTCCTTTTCCACCTCCCATCCTACACCGTCGACCGAAACCCGCTGCGAAGCCCTTGCGTACCCAAAGATGACTGAGTGGACATAACAGAACCCGTTTCCTCTCTCTAGAGCCCTTTGTCATTCCACTTTGCTGATCCGCGACACGGCCATCTTTCCATCTCTCAGCTATGGCATCAGCCGATAATCTTCGCACTGTGATCATCATTTCAGATGAAAAAACGGACGAACAGCCCCTGGCGCGAAGGACGCGAAGGTCGCAAAGGAAGAGACCACGCACAGACTACAGCTATCCGGCCTATGATGAATCTGATGATTTGGCGACCTCTGATTCTCTGGAGTCCGAAATGGAGCGGCCACTGAAAAAACAAAAAATATCCAACCTCGACATGATTTTGGTAAGACCCTTCTTTGTGGGACTTGATGGGGCTTCTTCCTCGCTAATATCGAGATAGGAAAGGGCGAACCAGGAAATCCATACTATTTTCGAGACTGAGCGTGCAAAGAGAAGGAAGCTAGAAGAAGAAGTGCAGCACCTGCATGCAGAGATGGCCAAACTTGAGACTAAACTCCGGGAGTTGAAGCATCCGATTTGAATGTGAGATCTGCTATAGTATCCCATCGGAGTGGAGGACCCTTCTGCCGTGTGGACATCGGTTTTGCACAAGATGCCTTCGTGCTGCCATTGGCGATGACTGTCCAAAGTGTCGTAGTTCTATCACCGGTATTCTCAAGAGCTATTAGGATTAGGTAGAGCTGTTTTCTCCCATTTTTTTTAGTCAGCGTTAGAAACATCATCTTGGTTGTGGTTTTGTTCTAGTTTTGAGGTATTGCTTGCCCCTTCCAAACACTACTTGTACGAGCTTTTTAAGGAGAGTTAGTGCCTTCTCCCCCCCCTGGGAGAGAAATATATTTTTAAAGAGACCGTTTGTGAGACGTCAATTAGGGGGTTTTGACTGGGTCAACTATTGGTACAAAACAAATCTAAGCAGCTAACTAACTAGAAATGGAAAGGTTGAGCCATCTCCCTGCATGAGCGCTGACGTAATCCACGTGACCTCGGCGACGTTCAATTATTCCGCTATCCGTCCTACTATCTGGTACATCTCATCCCCTTCTCGCTTATACACCAGCTTCAGAATCACCTGAGAAAGGGGCAAAATAATGTATTCTTGATGATCTAGCGTCTCCCCTAACGCATCGCCTTCCTAACGGCCGGACACTAATAATTTGCTCTGATCGGTGGACTCGGACGTGGCGCTCCTCGCCTGGGCGTGGGTCAGCCTCGATGGAACTATCGGAGTAATTCAACGGCTCCTTTAATGTGTTGCCTTCGTGATTGTCTGAGGCTAGGGGAGGGGTTGGCTCTCGTCGATTGGGTGGGTCATCGGCAACGTCACTTTGGCTTGGGTGAGCCTCCTCGATGGGGTCGTCGGAAAAATCCGACAGTTGGAGTGATGGTGGGGTAACATCGACCGGGGAGGAGTCGAACAGGATCCATTCGTCCCAGTTAATGTCATCGAGACCAGAGACGGTGGATGGCAGGGCAGAAAAACCAGCAAACTCCTCACTTGCTGCATCCTTAGAGAGGTCACCGGACGCAGGGAAGAGGGGCACGGGCATGGGCATTGGAAGGAGGTGCTGGGGCTCTTCGCCTGGCCGAGGATCAGAAGTGCATGCTTCCAGGAGATGCACTGTGTGCAGCTGAGGCGAGGGAGAACCGTCGGCAGGTCCAGGGGAGGTGGTATGGTACGTGAAGGTAGCCATGTTGTGAGGTGAGATGATGGGATGCTCTTCTCCCCTCGATCTCGATCCAGGACTGAAGCAGTGGGTTGCTCCACGTCTTGCCCATCTGCCGGGAACACCCTAATATGGTTTCCCCCCGGGAGTCAGTGAAGTGGTGCCCCACCCCCAAAACTATAGTTCCCTACGGGAAGTTAGGGAATTTGCAAGAATGCTGATGAAGGCGAACCCTTAGAGAGTGTCACGAACTTGTACATAACGGCAATAAAACGGAACCCCATGCGGCGCCGACATCCCTGAGGAGTGCCAGAATTCTGAGTGAAAAGACAACAAAAACCGAAGTCCCATGCGGTGTCAGCATCCCTGAGGAAGTGAGCTCCTTGAGGAGGTGAGTCCCATGCGGAGTTGGCATTCTTGGGGAAGTGAGCCCCTTGGGGAGTGCCAGAATTCTGAGTGAAAGGGCAACAAAAAGTGAAATCCCATGTGGTGTCAGCTCCCCTCGGGAAGTAAAGCCCCTTGGGAATGCCACATTTTTGAACTATTAGCCACCGGAGTAAAATCCCTGAGGGACGCCATAACCTCAGTAGAGAAGGCCACGAAATTAAAAGCCCGTAAGGAGCCAACACCCATCAGGGGATGGCGCCATGCTGAGTGAAAAAGCCACAGAAAAGATGCCATGGGGGTTGTCATATTTTTTAAATGAACGGCCACAGATAATGACAGTCCTTGAGGTGGAAAGACCAACTTGAAATCTTATCGATTCTTGGAATTTTAGGGTTCAGCAAGCACCATAGCATTGAGTGTGTTTGAATTTATATGTGGATAGATTGTAGATTCGGCGGCTGCATCATGACACAGACTTGCGAAAGCAGCCAATAAAGCTTAGAGTAGATTTACGTTTCAAAAAGAGCTTAGTGATGGTTTCGAATTCATTGTAATTTTACAACAAACAAAATCTTTCATTATCTCAAATCTGCTCAAGTGTCACTTGCTTTCCCTTCTTCCCCGCTCTAGACTTCTGATATTTCATGTAGTTCTCACTCGTTGTTCGGGAAGGGGGGGGATAATGTTTCTCCTGTTTCTGTAAGAGCTACGTTTTTTTCCAGGGTTGTACCAGACATGTCACTCACTATATCTTTGTCTGGTGGTGGAAAGTGGCTGTTCGAAGCATCAGACTTGTTAAAATTAATTGTAAAGTACCGATTGTCTTCATGGATGAGGAGGTAGACGCCCTTGCAGCGACAGTCATCGAAATAGCTACGTAGCATACGCTGCAGCGTGCCTTTCCGTCGGTAACGCATCTGCACGAGGCTACTGTGCTCAGTCCATGATCTGAGACTTGATTATTTATCACTTGATAGGGGAGAGGTCTCAATTTATAGCTATGAGTGAGTGTTGTGCTTCATTAAGCCAAGAGTCGCTTTTTCAAGGTGTACTTCTGTCGGATTTGACTAGTTGGTTTGCTGCGGCGCTTGCATTCTTGGGCCACGATCTGCGATCTGAAACTGTGGCACGCCATTTTGATTCGCGATTGAACTCGGCCACGCGATCCGAATACAT